GGTTCAGGTACACCAGGAACTGGACGTACGTAACTTTCTTGTTTGTACTTACTGGACGTCTTTAGAATCGACTTTATACGTATTATTTTCTTTTTTAATTGATTGCTAACGAAGGGCAGGCAAAATACACCATCGCTAGCAAAGCGCACGCGGAAGCCGCAGCTATGTCCACTTACGCCCTGGCTTACGCGGTCTGGAATTACGGCTGGTTGTCCCGTAGAAACAATAACGTTCGTGACGACTTCATTTTTATTATCTTTAGTACGAGAATAGCATATTCCACTTCTTAATAATATGTGTTTTCTATTGTTTCTGCGTCCATTTAAGCTTCGTGGAATTATGTTTTTTGCAGTAACTTTGGTCATAGCGAAAAAAACAGCGAAAATAATGTATAAAGTGGTAAAGAAAAAAATGGGCTTATTAAAAAGTAAAGAGAGTTATTGGCAAAAAAAATAAAAATGAAAATGAAAGATTCAAATAATTTATACTTTTCCAGATGCGCATATCACCCTAATTTTTTAGGGGTAACCCCACTAAATTGGCACCACTTTGATTGGTTAATATGAAATATCTGAAATATCTTGTAATACACTAAAATTTCGTGGTTAATAATAATAATAACGTAAATAAATTTACGCGCACTTCTTCTACTTAGCTAGTTTAAATGTCTACTTACCCTGCCTCTACCATTATTGTATTTAATCAAAATGGTACTCAATATACTTATACAACTATTAAAGAAGGATATTATCCTCAAAATGATATACTTTACACTTCTTTTTTTATTAAAATATTATGATTATTTAAATATCGATTATAATTTTAACAGTTTATCACTTCTTTTTTTATAAACATGAAAAACAAGGGTTATAAAAGCTGTAGATATTTATATAATTTATATAATTCATATTCATTATTAAGATTTTTCTATTTATTCTTGATCACGTGATGCGTAGGAACGTTATTGGTAAAAGTTGAGGTCAACTGGAGATCGATTTTTGTTCACAACTACCAAATCTATTCTCCAACTTTAGAAACCTACACTGACCAATATACATCATACCCTGAATAAACTACAAAATCAAAAAATTATTGAATGATGCAAAAAATTATAGTAATATTAAGTAAATTAAATATTATTTAAAACTACAGTATAAATAAAATCAATATCTGTATTTAATCATTTTATACCTTAAATTGATATAAAGAATTTGCAAAAAAAAAAATTATACGTTCATATGCAAAATAATGAGTTTACTATGTACGCGCGTTATCTTTTGTATTCAAACTCAATAATACCTTGTTGTTGTCTTGATTAATCTCCCAAGATAATGGGGGAGAATATATGTATTTCTTTTCTTGACTCTTGATATATCCCCAGTTTGGACTTCATGGAAAAGGTTAGTTTCTCCAATTAATTGGGGTTCGGATTTGATGTTAGATATTATGGAGTTTTTAAATTTTTATTAGCAACACTTTGTTTAGCGAATAATTTTTTAAGAACTCTATTTATACGTTTTTTTAATGGAAATTACCTTTTAATGTTGGATTACATCTGTCTCTTATACACATCTAGATGTGTATAAGAGATAGATTCATAGCTTTCAAAAAATTTTTATTGTCCCGCTGTTGTTCATATTCCGAAACCTTAAAAGGTTCTCGTAAGTATTCTTTAAAGAATTTTGGCCCAACTTTAAGATCGAGTGCCTTTTTATCAAGTAAGGCAACTCGGGTCCAATATCGTGCATCTGATAATTCGAACGTGTCGAGATCACGTAGCTCGCCAAATGGTTTTGAAGTGATCACATTACATCGCAATCGATTCTCACTGGCTTCATAAGAAACATCCTTCACAATTACGAGAATTGCATTGCGTTCATCTCTACATTTTTTAATATTCTTTGAACCCTTGGTGATGTATAGACGCGCAAAGTTGCAATGCGTTTCTGTTGGTTGAAATTTAACCGGAGGGAGACTTTCACGTTCGAATGTGTCAAAAAGAGAACTTGACATCGGATCTAAACGTTCAGCGGCAGCATAGGGAAGTTTTGCAACGTTACTACCACTCCTTGTAACTTGGAGGAACGAATACAAAGGTACTATGTATATTTTACTAATTTACGCACGAAAAAAAAAAAAATATATTAACAAAAGAAACCGTTAAAAAAGGAAAACAAAAAAAACATGAATACCTCTTAATATTAATATTTGGTACTACTTTACAAACATCACCAAATTCTTCATGAGGGAGTTTAGCACCAATCTGAGCAAGTGCGAAGTTCAATTTATTTATATCATGTGGTGGTTTCGAAAATTTCGTTGTTAAATTGACAAAACACGTAAGCATCGAATCTGCTTCTTTGAATATTACGGAATCTTTTTCATGGAATTTGAATGCATTATAAATAATCTGTGCTAAATCAACATAGAATTTTGAAACTGCACAATCGTATTCTCCTGCCCAAAGTTTATGTTCAACTGTTATTAAATCCATCGGACGTGCGATGCGAAGATGATAATTCCGAGCCGATTCGGGTACAGGATTAATAAAAGGGCGACACCATCCTTGAGAAACAAAACAATCTAACATATACGTCCCGAGACGAAGCAATAGCTCACGACTTAATACTTGTTCGTTTAAACAAAGCGATTCCAAATATTTTCGCAGCGCTATCGTCTGTTTTGGCTCTGGTTCAGGTACACCAGGAACTGGACGTACGTAACTTTCTTGTTTGTACTTACTGGACGTCTTTAGAATCGACTTTATACGTATTATTTTCTTTTTTAATTGATTGCTAACGAAGGGCAGGCAAAATACACCATCGCTAGCAAAGCGCACGCGGAAGCCGCAGCTGTGTCCACTTACGCCCTGGCTTACGCGGTCTGGAATTACAGCTGGTTGTCCCGTAGAAACAATAACGTTCGTAACGACTACATTTTTATTCTCTTTAGTACGAGAATAGCATATTCCGCTTCTCAATAATATTTGTTTTCTATTGTTTCTACGTCCATTTACGCCTCGTGGAATTATGTTTTTTGCAGTAACTTTGGTCATAGCGAAAAAAACGACGAAAATAATATATAAAGTAGAGAAGAAAAAATGGGCTTATAAAAAAGGAAGGAGAGTTAGTGACAAAAAAAATGAAAATGAAAATGAAAGATTCAAATAATTTATATTTTTCCAGATGCGCGTATCACCCTAATTTTTTTAGGGGGTAACCCCACTAAATTGGCACCTCTTTTGATTGGTTAATATGAAATATCTTGTAATACACTAAAATTTGATCTATTTCGTGACGTAAATAAATTTACGCGCACTTCTTCTACTTAGCTAGTTTAAAATGTCTACTTACCCTGCATCTAACATTATTTTATTTGATCAAAATGGTACTCAATATACTTATACAATTATTAAAGAAGGATATTATCCTCAAATTGATATACTTTGTTACACTTCTTCTTTAAGTGATTTAGGGAATGTTAATAAACTTTATTAGCATTTCTTTTGTCCTTTTTCTTTTGTAGGTACCTACTTCAAAGATTTTCAGTCTTAGATTCTTGAATGAAAGGCGTTGGGAATTGGAGTTAGGGGACGTTAGTAGAACCTTTACTAACGTTTCTTCATTTTTTTTAACCGTAAACCTTCTACCTGAACACTTTGAAAGATTTGATTGGGATTTTACTTAAACATTTTAACGTTTCATTTTTTAATCTGAAATTGTTATTTTATTATATAGATTATTTTTGAATTTTGATATTTTTTTTACTTAAAAATGCATAAATAAATGTAATAAATGTGATTAGGAAATTTTTTTTTTTAATTTTAAAAACTTTTTTTTATTGAACATCAAAGTCTATGATCAAGTTATCTAATGGCAACTTTCATAAGCTCATATGTAAAGTATAGCAGTATATATAGAATTAAAAGTTTCTATAGATTTTCACTATATTATACAACCTATCATACTTAATATCGTTTAACCGAAAATTATAAAAATTATAGCGATTCTATCATATATAATATATTTTATTTAATCCAATTTTCCCATTTATCGTATAAATAAAATTTTATGAAATTTTAGTTATATTTTAACATATGTATCTTAAAAAGTTTCACGCGATGCATTAATAATTGAAGTCTAAAAATTATTATCAAAAAATAGCGGATCACGATCTTTTCATATTTTTGACGATTTGATCTAGCCGTATAATAATTTGATTTATAAATTATGATGGTCTTGACATTCTTCATAATTAAATAATTGAAATATAATATTAAGTGAAAGATCTTTTCCGATCTTTGTTCCAATGCGACCAACATCTCGTCATAAAGGTTGTCTTTAATATAAATTATGATAAATCTAATTAATTTGTTCCATCAATTCCCATCTAGTCATTTTTTTTATTTTAATGAAATATTAAAATAAAAAGGGTTTTTTCGTAAATATAACTCAACATGTATTCGCGTACAAGGATACTCTATTAAATAAACAAATATAAGATTATTTTTAAAATACTTGAATACATGTTCATATATAAATATATTACCTTACGAGAGGATCATTCTTTTGTATCTAGTGGACACGGAACGGAACATCATTTTTCTATAGATTCAATTTGATGCCATCATTGTAACTAAACTCCCTAAATATATTGTAAGATATTCTTTACATAATAAACATCCTCCAAAACATACTTAATTTTGACAATCAACCACTTCTTATTGACTTCGGTTCGTAGTACATACAATCCTATAACAAGGATTTCCATTTTTTGTAAAGCTAAAAATTAATTATTAAATTTAATTTATTAAAAAATAAATATTATTATTATTCTTACTTATTTCAAACGTTTTACGCTAGTCTTTCTTGTTCATCGTTATTTTCATCCTCAGTTTCAAGCTTCGCAATTGCAGCGATTTTGAGACACGTTAAGAACAGCCTTCATAATATCATCTGTATAAGTTTAGTTGCAAAAGTTAATGCAAGTATTCTGCACCCTCTCATTCCATCTATCATCACTCCTATTTCCCGTTAAATTCTCATAAAAATATTCGATTTCGTTTGATAAATCTTAAAAAAAAAACCCTTCCTGAGAAAATTTAATATCTATTATAAAAAAAAAAAAAAATTCCACCGACATAAATTAAGATTAAAAGAAATCCCTTCTCCGTCTCTCATTAAAATTATGAGAGGAAAATTTAATATTTATTGTAAAAAAAAACCAATTCCACTGACATAAATTTATATTAAAAGAAAACCCTCCTCTATCTCTATTTCCTCTCATTAAAATTATGAGAAGAAAATTTAATTTAATATATATTATATATATTATATAATAAAAAACCAATTCCACCGACATAAAAATTAAAAAAAAACCTTCCTTTCCGTCCCTACTAATCTAAAATAACATAAAAAAATATTCGATTTAATTTAATAAATTTTAAAGAGAAACCCTTCCTTCGTCTCTATTTCCTTATGAGAGAAAATTTAATATCTATTGTAAAAAAAACTAATGCAACCGTTAATAAATATTAAAGAAATCTTTTTTTTTCCGTCTCTAATCTTTTAAATTATCATAATAAAAAATATTAATAAATGAAAAATTTTCACATTATCTAAAGAAATTTTAATTCTTTTAACGTCCTAAATAACATCGCACCAACATTCTTTTCGTTTGGAAAGATGAATTTTCGAACAAGTACCAAGCTTCGAATGCTCAATCTGCTTCTCAATACTTTCTCTTTTATTATATTATTAAAAAATAATAAAAGTATCAAATTAGACAATATCAACTTTTAATAAAAAATTCGAAAATCGGTACAAGTAAAGGCGACAATAGTTGATATATAACTAAATAGATGAAACATACCATAAACTAGTAAGAATCTTCCAAAACTTATCTCCTTTGTAAATTTCTGGCTATTGCTAGTTCAATGTTAGGCAATTAAACCTATTTTACGTACTTTAACCTATGTAGTATGTACCCAAAGTTCAATTAAAGTAGAGGGTTGGTTTATGTGGTTATTAATCATATACTAACTCAAGATTGTGTAATTACTAAAATATGGGTGGGTATTCGATATACATTTTTTGTTAGCCTTTAATGATCGGTTAATTAATTACCCTTCATTTTTATTTAGTGTTCCGAAAGGATCGGGTCAAAACCTGGGTTATTGACCCGACCCGTAACCCGTTATACCTTTACTTTGACTCAATCTTTTTATTATATTTTTAACTAAAAATTTAAAATTTTTTATATTTTTTATATTAAATACAACTGAACCGAGTCAGAACATAATTGGGTCGACTCGACCCCTTCGGAACACTAACTGGTATTTTCTAAGCGAAGCAAATTTATAAGTAGCCTTGGTTAATAAGAAAGGAAAATTTATATAAGATATTACTATACACAGTGTAATTACAATACGATAATATATCAATTATAAGTAACATTAGACAATTTATAGCTTTAGTTGTTGAACAGTTGATTTTATTTATGATAAAAATAAGTTCCTTAACATATATATACATTATACAATAGTTATATCGAGTATTTTGAACCTAAGTATTTTCACAATATTTTTCTACAAATAATAATTGAACAAATAATGAATGAAGACAATAATTTAATAAAGACTTGGTATTTTTATTTTAAATGGGCTGGATTGTGGAAAGCGCATCGAATTGGAATTCGGATGGGAAATTTTGAAATGCAGCATGAATCACTCTCTGCATTTGCACCACTCTTTCCAGTAGCCGGTAAACTTATTATGCCTCATCAGTTGCCTTTTATCTAGCATATTTAGCAAAAAATCCTGAATTAAAAGAATTATTAAAACATGCTTGTTCAATTAATATTAGTCGAGAAAAACATTTTTTTTGCATTTGACGAGGCTTTAGAAACACTGGGGTTAAATACATAAAACAAAATATATCTGGAAATCCTATTAATATCGACCAACTTAAAAATCAGATTAAAGCTGTTCAAAGTGAAAGGGATCGAATTAATCTGTTTTTATCTGAATTTTTAGATGATAATGTTGCACATCAAGGTGATCGGGCAGTAAAATCTCGTAAAGAAATTACTTGGGATGTAAAAATCAACTTGTTATAGCATTTGATAATCCAATGGATAATTCTCTTTTTAAAGATATTTCGGGATTATCTAATATGACCGCAGAATATACATCTGAAGGATGGACCAGATTATTTAATTGTTATTCAATAGGAGAAGAGCGTCTTAATGTTATATTACAACAAGACATTTTAAAACGCGAAAAACGAGTTGCAAAGGGCAGAAGAGCAAAAAATATTGGACATAATAAAATAGCAAATATGAAAAAATCTAATAATAATAATACTAAGGGTCGTGGTAGAGGTGGAGTTCAGCATGTATTGCCATCTAATATATTTACAACTCAAATTCAAATACTTCTGTTTTTAATGAATCACAACATTCTTTTAGTATGCCTTCTAATCCCAATAATTCTTTTGACCAAAATATTAATTACTTGAACAACAATTTACAAAATATACATCTAAATTCTACGCAATCTAATCCTAATGCAGAAATTCAGAATCTTCCTAATATACAAGCTATTCATTCTCTTCCAGACCCAATTCAAAATCCCCAATATTTACAGAATGAATGATTTGTGAAGTTGTAGCTAGAATTGAATTAATATTTTTTAAAGGAGTACAATGTTGAAAATCTTTTTAAAATACTGTATAATTTCATCTGTTAATTCTTTTTTTCAGATGGAATATTTTTATTGATGATTTGATGATTTGTTCTTTTGCAATCATCAAATCTCTTTCACAGTTCCAAAATTCATTGGAATTTTGGAACTGTGAAACAAATAATATTTTAATCTTGGTCCAAGACCAGTAAGTTTTTCCCCGAGATTTTTCCTTTATCGAGGATGCTCTTCTACCCATTTAATGATTTACAAACTAAGCAAATAAAAGGTTATTTTAATAATTTTTTTCTTTTTATCAAAAAAGAATTTAAAAATATAATTATAATTTACTTACATTAATTTTTAGGAAATTTAAATGAAAATGGATTTCCTCATAATAATGGAATTGTCATACGACACCATAATCTATTAACGATATCGCTTCTAAATAGGGTTTTTAAATAAAATCGATGTTGAATCAACATCGTATGATCATCAGATGACCCATACCCGTGATAAAAATAGATTACTATTTTTAGTGTCTCCTCAAAGCAAGAATGCGATTAACGCGAACTTAAATAAACCTATTAATAAACCATTTTATTAGACTTTACACGGGTGCGGGATTACTTGCTCATAATTTTGAAAACCACAATAAACTAAAATTATTTTTTTTTTAAACTTACTGCTGGCATATTTGCTTGAGATTGTGGGGAATTTTTCTACTTAACTCTGCAAACGGACGTCATATATTTTATTATTGTTTCCTCGCTCTAAAAAAATGATTATAAAGAAAAAATTAATAACTGAATTGTTTAATATAAATTACTTTAACATACATACATCTATTAAAACTTTGTTTTGGAATTTTATTAGAGAAATAATGCGTTATCTTTGCATGTTATTAGGGGAATATATTAATATTTTATTTTTAATTAAAAGAGTTTTAATTTATATTGATATTAGATAACAATCAAACAATCATAGTACCTGCATAATGTCGTTACACCATAAAATACTGTACACAGATGATAGAAATCAATTCAGCTATAGATGTTAAAAGATACTTTTTTAATTCTATCCTTGTGTATGTGAAAATTTTTTGTGGATGGGCTTACTTCATGAAACAATAAGTTCAATGTTATCATTCGTAAATATTCGAAATTTAGAATTGTTTTATTTTTTGATATAATTTTCTGAAGATCCGTTAATTGACATAAAAGGGTTATCTATAACTTGTTTATAACTACTTTAACCGAAAAATATTCTAAAATTTCATGTTACTATTTCTAATGAAGAATTTTTTTCAATGTGCACCGAATCAGTACATCAATCAGTTTAGAGGGCGATGAAACATTTCGGATTCTGAAAAAATAGTAAAGCCACTTCGGAAAAATAACTAAAAGGCAACTTGGATAATTTTCATGTTTTGAGTAGAGGCTGGATCCGTGAATTTTCAGTGGAATAAATATTCTTTTGCGGAATTGATGTTTTAGTCATAAATTTATTTCGATTTTATATATAGCAAAATAGATTCGCTATACACAAATTGGATGGATATTAAATTCTAATCAATTACTACAACATTACGAAAATAAATTTTTAAAACTTTTTCATTATAGATAATCATTGGCTTAATGACTGCTAAATCATTTAAATATGTGGGTCACTATCTATAAAATCTGGACGCCACCTCTAGTTTTGAGGCTTTAAATTCCGCGAACATATAGAATAAAAAAAAAAGATTAAATAATGAATAAATAAAATAATAATAATAATAAATACGCAAAATAAGGCTACTATTATTTTTATGGCTTATACAGTGGCTAGTAGTGCGGTAGACGGGTAGAGTATCAACAAGATAAAAAATCACCGCGCATGCATTGCCACCTAATAAGCCATATTTCCGTATGATAGATTCAGTTTCTTTGACGGGTAGAGTATCGACAAGATAAAAAATCACCACACTTGCATTGCCACCTAATAAGCCATATTTCTTTAACGGGTAGAGTATCAACAAGACAAAAAATCACCACACTTGCATTGCCACCTAATAAGCCATATTTCCGTATAATAGATTTCTTTATTAGAAAATTTATGGCTTTGTAAAAGAACCAAAAAAAAAATATAATTCGCGTCAATATTTTCCTTTTAAATATGACTTACTTTTGAATCTCAAAATTTTCCAAAAAAAAAACAAACAAATAAATAAATAAATGCATTGTCTAAAAATAATAAAATGTCAAAAACAAATGTTTACTCATATATTAAAACTCAATATTTAAAAAATAATTTTTTTATTTTTTTTTTTTATTATGTAAGTAAGTACCTTATTATAATTTTATCATTATTATCAATTTCAATTTTAAGATTCCTTTACTTAGTACTTACATTTACTTATTAATAATTTTTATTGATATTGAAGTTTAACTCCGTGCCTCAAGTATAACCTCAAGGAACCTTAGCGTAAAAAACAAAATAATCATGGTATTTATGGGTTGGAGCGGGGTATTGAAGTAGAAATTATCCCGGATTTTAAATAAATTTATATTTAGTATAGCTTATATATATATATTAACATTCGATGTCCATAATCCAATTTTCCCGTCATCCTTAAATTGGACGAGGCACTAATATGGAGGATGACGGGAAAATTGGTTTATGGAATTATATTTAGTATAGGATATATAGCATATATATTAACATTTTTTAATAGTACTTTTATGGACTCATATTATATACTAGTACATTACTGTTATTGGTAAAATTCAGTGTATTATTAAAATAACTTAATAAAAAAATTAAAATTGCATTACAATAATTTCGATTTTATCAGTGTAAAAATTTCACCAGTGAACATTCTTTTTACCTAGAAACGATCAGATCCGAAATACGTGCTCATTTGTAATATATAAAAATTAAATATAGTACTAAAATGTTCAACATACAGACATGCAGGAGCTAAGGAAACTTTCAATATTACATAACATGTATGAAGGAATGGACGGAATAGAAAAACACCAAATACTGTAATATAAACTATAAAGTAAAAACATGTATAATTAATATAATAATTTTAAAAATATCAAATAACAACTAGGGATTAATTTTTACCAATATTTATTATTTGATCGGAGACGTCGGTATTTGTGCCGTAAATATATCATCGATAATCACGATAATGAGGCTGATCCGTGAAATAACTGGTTTTACGTCCCGTATAAAACAACGGACATCTTTATCAATAAATAAATTATATACAAAAAAGGAGGGCTGGGGGAACGGACCGACGGATACTTAGTTTTTCTATCAATTGATCAAAATAAATGCATTCTTTTAAAGATCTTAGTAAAGATGAACAACATTTAGGGTTCTTTGGTATTTCTGAAAATTTTACAATATTTTTAATTTAACTCGTTTTTTTTTTGAAATTCTGTATTTTCAAACGTTATACCGTGCATAATCAATAAATCTAATAAAATTTCCTCTATAACAAATTAAGTTTCTAACCTAAAATAATAGCCTTCTTTCTTCTGATGTAAATGATGTAAAGTAAATATTATGTAAATTTCGTCAAAATGAATCTTGTTGAATCCCAAATTTGTAAAACTTTATTTAATAATTTTTTAATGAAAAAAGTCAAGCATTTGTTTCCAAGGACATCAAACAGTGAAACGGGATAGGGTCAGTGTAACGCATGTGATAAATAAAATAGATCACGGAGGCTAGAAAATTCTTCAATCCCGTGAAATAAAAAATAAAAAATTAGCTTCGATTGCACGTGACAGATATATTATTTCGAAAATTTTATCTTCATCGGTTTAATTCATCTGATACAACTTTCAATTAAGGAGGATTTTCTGTTAACAACACGCATTTTTTTAAAGTTGGTACTTTTAAAACAAATATACATTAGAAATAAAACAACAATAAATTATTAGTATTGTCAAAATAATCTAATATATTTCCATTGGTACTAGCTAAAAGTTCTTTATATCGTTATGTTCTAATAAATATAATTCAATTGATCAACTGCATTGAAAAACTGATCCTTTTATGTCAAATTATTATCAATTAATGGATCATTCCGGAAAATTATATCAAAAAATGAAGAATATATGTATACAATCTCCATCCACAAAAAATTTTCACATACACAAGGATAGAATTAAAAAAAGGTCTTTTGAACATCTATAACTGATTTGATTTCTATCATGTGCAATCATCTATGTATAGTTATTTTATGGTGTAACAACATGATTGTTTCATTTGTTTGATTGTTATCTGATATCAATATAAATAGAATAACATGCCAAGACAAGGTATATTTTCCTAATAACATGCAATGACAATGCATTATTTCCCTAATAACATTCCAAGACAAAGTTTTAATAAAGATGTATGTATGTTAAAGTAATTTATATTAAACAATTCAGTTATTAATTTCTCTTTATAATCATTTTTTAGAGCGAGGAAACAATAACAAAATGTATGAAAAATTGGGTAAAGAGCGAGAAAAAAAATAGGAGTCCGTTTATAAAAGAATTCCCCACAATCCCAAGCAAATATGCCAGCAGTAAGTTTAAAAAAAAAATAATTTTAATTTATTGTAGTTTTCAAAATTATGAAATTATGAGCAGTAATCCCGCACCCGTGTAAAATCTATGGGATCTGATCATGCGAAGTCGATCAAATTTTTAAGCCCGTTCCTTATAAATAAAATTTTTTTTTACCCAATTTTTTTTAAATATTTAGGTTAATATTAACCGGAAATATTTTATATCTATGGTATCTGAAAGCGTCGTCCAAGAAGACCGAAAGAGCTACCTAAATCATTTCGTTGAAGAAATTTTTCAACGGAAAGTACGAGTGATTACACTCGTTAATAGATTATGGTGTCGTTATGACAATTCCATTGTCATGGGAAAATCCATTTTCATTAAAATATCCTAAAAATTATTATTATATTGAGATGATGAAAAAATGCAATTAAAGAAATATGGAAGAGAGAATGAAGGAAAGGGAGCGAGAGAAAAGGGCAAAGTTATTGCATATATCTAAAAATTTGACACTGACTTCAAAAAAATATGAAAGAAATTAGGTTTAAAACATTTAGCAATAGGGTGGCCACAGGAAAAAAGGTTGGATTGAAAACTAGTAGAAAGGTATCTAAATTTATTTTATTTTATTTTATTTATTTATAAAATAATGATCAATTATAACTAAAAGATTTTTATTTATGTGTTATTCTCAATTTCAATAATTTCAATAACTACAAAATTTAGTTGGTGGACCTTTAACGTAAGTAAATTATAATTATATCTAAATTGATAAAAAAAAAAATCATTAAAATAACCTTTTATTTGCTTAGTTTGTAAATTGCCTTTCAAGGCAGAAGAGCATCCCCGTGATAAAGGTGGAAAACTTACAGTCGGACATGGAAAAATTTTTTCAGATGAAATGTTTTAATTAATTTGTTCATTTGTAATCATATCTATTTCACTTGTATTCATATTATTGGAATTTTGGATCTGTGAAACAAATACTATTTTTAATCTTGGTAGACTACGTTCCAGAAACGACATGATTAAAAATATTTATGACAACACCACTTATCGATCCTGGTTCATTTTTAAATTTAATAAATCTACAACATTTGGAGATTGTTAATCATGATGGGAATGAATCTTATAGCCGTTATAAGAATGTAGATATCTCATATAATATAGAAAGGTTTTTCATCACACGTGGACGTAAAGGACACATCAAGGAAACAGATTTTGAAAGAACAAAGATTTATACGTGAAAAATAATTAGTATTCCAGGAAGAGACGGCTAACATGGCTTCGACTCCTTTCCTCTTGAAGACATTTTTGTCACAACAATAGCCATGTCCTATTGTCAATTTGCGACTTTCTGAGAATATATATCAACTATTGTCGCCTTTACTTGTACCAATTTTCGAATTTTTATTAAAAGTTGATATTATCTAATTTGATACTTTTATTATTTTTAATAATATAATAAAAGAGAAAGTATTGAGAAGCAGATTGAGCATTCGAAGCTTGGTACTTGTTCGAAAATTCATCTTACCCAACGAAAAGAATGTTGGTGCGATGTTATTTAGGACGTTAAAAGAATTAAAATTTCTTTAGATAATGTGAAAATTTTTCATTTATTAATATTTTTTATTATGATAATTTAAAAGATTAGAGACGGAAAAAAAAAGATTTCTTTAATATTTATTAAGTCGGGTGCATTAGTTTTTTTTACAATAGATATTAAATTTTCTCTCATAAGGAAATAGAGACGAAGGAAGGGTTTCTCTTTAAAATTTATTAAATTAAATCGAATATTTTTTTATGTTATTTTAGATTAGTAGGGACGGAAAGGAAGGTTTTTTTTTAATATTTATGTCGGTGGAATTGGTTTTTTATTATATAATATATATAATATATATTAAATTAAATTTTCTTCTCATAATTTTAATGAGAGGAAATAGAGATAGAGGAGGGTTTTCTTTTAATATAAATTTATGTCAGTGGAATTGGTTTTTTTTTTACAATAAATATTAAATTTTCCTCTCATAATTTTAATGAGAGACGGAGAAGGGATTTCTTTTAATCTAAATTTATGTCGGTGGAATTGATTTTTTTTTTATAATAGATATTAAATTTTCCTCAGGAAGGGTTTTTTTTTTAAGATTTATCAAACGAAATCGAATATTTTTATGAGAATTTAAAAATTAGAGACGGGAAATAGGAGTGATGATAGATGGAATGAGAGGGTGCAGAATACTTGCATTAACTTTTGCAACTAAACTTATACAGATGATATTATGAAGGCTGTTCTTAACGTGTCTCAAAATCGATGCAATTGCGAAGCTTGAAACTGAGGATGAAAATAACGATGAACAAGAAAGACTAGCGTAAAACGTTTGAAATAAGTAAGAATAATAATAATATTTATTTTTTAATAAATTAAATTTAATAATTAATTTTTAGCTTTACAAAAAATGGAAATCCTTGTTATAGGATTGTATGTACTACGAACCGAAGTCAATAAGAAGTGGTTGATTGTCAAAATTAAGTATGTTTTGGAGGATGTTTATTATGTAAAGAATATCTTACAATATATTTAGGGAGTTTAGTTACAATGATGGCATCAAATTGAATCTATAGAAAAATGATGTTCCGTTCCGTGTCCACTAGATACAAAAGAATGATCCTCTCGTAAGGTAATATATTTATATATGAACATGTATTCTTAAGTATTTTAAAAATAATCTTATATTTGTTTATTTAATAGAGTATCCTTGTACGCGAATACATGTTGAGTTATATTTACGAAAAAACCCTTTTTATTTTAATATTTAAAATAAAAAAAATGACTAGATGGGAATTGATGGAACAAATTAATTAGATTTATCATAATTTATATTAAAGACAACTTTTATGACGAGATGTTGGTCGCATTGGAACAAAGATCGGAAACGATCTTTCACTTAATATTATATTTTCAATTATTTAATTATGAAGAATGTCAAGACCATCATAATTTATAAATCAAATTATTATACGGCTAGATCAAATCGTCAAAAATATGAAAAGATCGTGATCCGCTATTTTTTGATAATAATTTTAGACTTCAATTATTAATGCATCGCGTGAAACTTTTTAAGATACATATGTTAAAATATAACTAAAATTTCATAAAATTTTATTTATACGATAAATGGGAAAATTGGATTAAATAAAATATATTATACATGATAGAATCGCTATAATTTTTATAATTTTCGGTTAAACGATATTAAGTATGATAGGTTGTATAATATAGTGAAAATCTATAGAAACTTTTAATTCTATATATACTGCTATACTTTACATATGAGCTTATGAAAGTTGCCATTAGATAACTTGATCATAGACTTTGATGTTCAATAAAAAAAAGTTTTTAAAATTAAAAAAAAAAATTTCCTAATCACATTTATTATATTTATTTATGCATTTTTAAGTAAAAAAAAATATCAAAATTCAAAAATAATCTATATAATAAAATAACAATTTCAGCTTAAAAAATGAAACGTTAAAATGTTTAAGTAAAATCCAAATCAAATCTTTCAAAGTGTTCAGGTAGAAGGTTTACGGTTAAAAAAAATGAAGAAACGTTAGTAAAGGTTCTACTAAAGTCCCCTAACTCCAATTCCCAACGCCTTTCATTCAAGAATCTAAGACCGAAAATCTTTGAAGTAGGTACCTACAAAAGAAAAAGGACAAAAGAAATGCTAATAAAGTTTATTAACATTCCCTAAATCACTAAAAGAAGAAGTGTAACAAAGTATATCAATTTGAGGATAATATCCTTCTTTAATAATTGTATAAGTATATTGAGTACCATTTTTTGATCAAAAACAATAATGTTAGAGGCAGGGTAAGTAGACATTTTAAACTAGCTAAGTAGAAGAAGTGCGCGTAAATTTATTTACGTCACGAAATAGATCAAATTTTAGTGTATTACAAGATATTTCATATTAACCAATCAAAAGAGGTGCCAATTTAGTGGGGTTACCCCCTAAAAAAATTAGGGTGATACGCGCATCTGGAAAAATATAAATTATTTGAATCTTTCATTTTCATTTTCATTTTTTTTGTCACTAACTCTCCTTCCTTTTTTATAAGCCCATTTTTTCTTCTCTACTTTATATATTATTTTCGTCGTTTTTTTCGCTATGACCAAAGTTACTGCAAAAAACATAATTCCACGAGGCGTAAATGGACGCAGAAACAATAGAAAACAAATATTATTGAGAAGCGGAATATGCTATTCTCGTACTAAAGAGAATAAAAATGTAGTCGTTACGAACGTTATTGTTTCTACGGGACAACCAGCTGTAATTCCAGACCGCGTAAGCCAGGGCGTAAGTGGACACAGCTGCGGCTTCCGCGTGCGCTTTGCTAGCGATGGTGTATTTTGCCTGCCCTTCGTTAGCAATCAATTAAAAAAGAAAATAATACGTATAAAGTCGATTCTAAAGACGTCCAGTAAGTACAAACAAGAAAGTTACGTACGTCCAGTTCCTGGTGTACCTGAACCAGAGCCAAAACAGACGATAGCGTTGCGAAAATATTTGGAATCGCTTTGTTTAAACGAACAAGTATTAAGTCGTGAGATATTGCTTCGTCTCGGGACGTATATGCTGGATTGTTTTGTTTCTCAAGGATGGTGTCGTCCTTTTATTAATCCTGTACCCGAATCGGCTCGGAATTATCACCTTCGCATCGCACGTCCGATGGATTTATTAACAGTTGAACATAAACTTTGGGCAGGAGAATACGATGGTGCAGTTTCAAAATTCTATGCTGATTTAGCACAGATTATTTATAATGCATTCAAATTCCATGAAGAAAATTCCGTAATATTCAAAGAAGCAGATTCGATGCTTACGTGTTTTGTCAATTTAACAACGAAATTTTCGAAACCACCA